AAGGTGTTGGGGCGAAGGAACTTACCGCCGAAGGCTTACGGCCGAAGGCGTCCGAAGTGACGGGGTCGTTTTTCCCTGTGACGAAGGCGTCTACCGCGCATGCTTCGTACGTCTTCAGCGACAGATACTCTGGAGGCGTATGCGCCGAAGACACCTCACAAAAGGACCTGTTGCCAAAGGCGCCGAAGGCGCTCTCCCAGCAGAAACCGTCTGCTCCGTCCAAGGCGTTGGACCTCGGCCTAAGCAAGGAAATTTCCATCTCGAGCTTTGATCGATGATATAGATCCATAGCTCTTCTGATCAAAGCTCCATCCATTATCCGGACCATGGGATTCTAGAGGAAGTTGGTGACATCGCTCCTACGATCAAACTCCCCTTCTAGAGGAGACCAATTACTGGCGAGTAGGCACACATGTCTTTCATACGCAGCTATTTGAAGGTCAATTGCCATATGAAGGTCAATTTACGTGGCCTTCATGGATTCCTCTACCAAAGCGTTCCACGTTCCCTCTTCCAAATCAAATATCAAGAGAGACCTCAAATTGCCCCTAAAGGGATCCCACATGAGCCAATACAGACTTCTATTACATACTACACTTCTCCCACTACCCCAATAGTCTTTCATCCATTCAGGAAACGGATGAATTCCCCACAACCATGTACCGGTCGTCGAGTCGTAATTCAAAGTTCTGAGTCTATCTATTGCGACTAGGAATCCTCCCAAAACCAGCTTGCAGTTGTTAGTAGATTGATCCACGACTAAACCCACCACCTTACGCTTCAGCATGCCATCAATGACTGTTTTCCATTGATTATAAAACGAGGTACGTTTAAAAAGAGGATTTATTCCGGAACTGGACTATCTATGACATATGTTGTTGAAAATGGTTCACCAAAACACAGTAGGCCTCCATTAGTAGCGACCAGCTCCTTGGGCGAAAATGTAAGACTACTAGTGATCCATCGATCTCTACAGCAGAAGTGGGCCGTATTTTCACAACGTGCATTAAACACAATAACACAATGTTTGCATATTTTGTCCCCTAACTCAGGACCATCTATGAATTCCTTCCATTTCTTACAAACTGAACGACATTCCATAAGGGTGGAAATTGGGAAATCATAATCTCTGAGAATCTTGATCAGGAAATCGATAGGTAGACTTTCCCATGCATCTTCAGGTTGATGCTGGTCTCTTTCGGGCTCCATCTTAACGAACGAAGTTTTAAAGGATCATACATATGAGTTCATGTCTGAATCTGCAATCTGCAGCATCTCAGAAGGAGACAGTACTCAGTCAAGTCAATTGTGAGTTAGCATCGACGAAAATTCTAACGAGGATTGAAACAGATGGGCACAAATGAAAACAACTGTGTGTTTCAATATCTGCCTATATACGTGTGAAGCAGCTGTCAAACTTGAGAACGCTGGATGCAGAAGTGTGGACAAGAGAAGTGTGATAACACTGTCAAAACAGTGTATTGTCAGATAAACGATAGAGAACGGGAAAGAAGTTCCTGTCACTGGAGTTCCGAACTATGTAGTCATCGACCGAAACACCGACTAGTATCGGTTGACAGTTACTTATGCATCGGTAATATCAGCATGTCATTTTCGATTTGGTGTTTGTTTAACTGTCACTTTCACAGTTTGAAGTATATACATACTATTAACAACTTAAAAAAATATTTCTCAACAGTACTCCATTGAGGTATCTTTTGATTTTTATTGATTGTATGAAATAAAACTTTGAATGTAATAGTAATATTGAACTTAAGCATTCTGTCAAGAGTAAATACGTTCGAACTTAAAAAAATGACCGATGACTATTCACCTCCACATGGGGCATCAACATATTTTCAAGGAGATAATATTGTTCTATATATGGATTTGCAGAAGGCATTTGGTTTAAAGTTTTAAGGTTTTTTTCATCAACCCGCCTACCATTCTTTCATTGTCAATCTCCACTCTCACCAAGTTAACAATTATTTTTCTAGAATTATTTCAAATCACGGTTAAGTATACATCCAATCTATAAGGACATTTCTTAGCCCACGGATAAGTATTAAAAATTTATTAACACCGTGAATAGAATTCTGACGTTTTTCTTCACTGTTGCTCCACGGTAGTTAGTCTTATATTTAATCATTATAATCGTAAATCTTGTAATGGAGTGTTTTTTAAATTCATTTTACCATTATTTTCTGAAGTTTTTTTCCTTGATATTGTTTAAATGCATGACTAGTGGAGCTCGTATTTCCGCTAGGATGAGCTTATTTAATATAGATGGGAATAGTTATGTCGAAGGCTGTCATCTTCGTGGCAGTATATCTCTGATCATTGCTTTCGAAGCATAGTGTTACAATTTATTTACAAAGGATTTCACATCTTTTTCTAATAAAATAAGTCTTCTTTTATGAGTATCATAATGATTTGGAGATGGTAATTTGGAGAAAATATCTTCTGGATGGGTTTTTTTAACAAGTACTTTCCAAGATTGCACACCTCAGGCCACTTGATGAAATATGCTGGATGGAAAATTATTCACAAAAGAGATGAGTCAAGTTAGCCTGGTATGATCACCATGACATGGACTGATTCCGGAACTTGATAATGGAAGTCTTCCAGTAATAATAGTTCATATTTAATTTGAGGAGATGCTTAAAGATTGATGCCGCTTAAGGCTTATTAACTTCTAAACCTCAACACGAATTTCTATACAGAAACCATATTTTTAAAAGTTGGTTCATGAAATTACGAAACAGATAAGTAACAGGTTAAATGGGTTCACAGAATGTATTAATCACATCTACAAACAAGATATGAGTTTCAAATTAAAATATCTCATTTCACTGAATATGTGTATACCAACTTATTGATTTTTGTATCCAATGGATATTGAGGTTGGTTATTTCTCGAATAAATTAAAACAAAGTTATGGCATGTAGGGTGAGTTTCATAGGTTTAAGTCTGATAGAGGTAAGTCTAAAAATGAAATGATATTCATATATCATGTAGTGGAAAAATCGTCTTTGAAAATACTGATGGTTCCACCTTTACCCATCATTGGCTATTCTCGGGTAAAGCTGGCAAGATAATCCCAATAAAAAATGCATATCCTTTAGTTCTTCTAACCATTGGCCTCAAGCCAAGCAGGACTAGTTGAAAGATCCTATGAGAACTGATTGTTGATAGAGAGCTCTTTCTCACAAGGCTCTATTTTATATTAAAAGAGTGCATCTACTCAGAAGTTTCTGCTCTTCAACTTACATGAAGTAAGAACTATCAATGGATGGCAAGAACATTGTAACCCAAGCTGGGGAATATGTAAGCCTCCAGTTTCCTCAGAGGGTACGAACAAACCTGGCTATCGAGATTTTTTCAGAGAATATTGTACTTATTCGCCAAGTCATACCAACTTGGTGAGGTTGGATCAGCAACCTTCGTTGTTCCTGGAAAGAACAGTCGACATCGCTCATCTCATCATATTCAGCTCAGCAACAGACATGCAATGGGACGGACAGTCAGAAGACAATAGTGTCATTCTTGGTTTTCAGTATATAATGAAAACGGAGACTTAACCTATTGGAAGGAAAATGAAAGGATATGGCAGGTGGCAGTTGGTCTTCAGACTCATTCTTTTGAAAATTGAAGGTACATTATAGATAGCATTAGTTGCGAGGAAAGGAGTTTTGGAACTTCAACTGAAACTTCCCGGCTAGAGCGAAGGAATCCAAGTCGAGTAGGGATACACGTCCTTCATCCGCAGCAATCTAAACTGCACCTGTCTTATCCTCAATGACTTTCTCTGCCAACACGTTCCACTTTTCCGCTGTCAGATCAAACAGCAATAAAGCCTTCATTACGCCACCGGGATCCGATAAGATCCAATACAGGCATCCATTGCATACTACACACTCCAGCACTCTACTTCCATCCAGTTCAGCAATGTAGGAAATGTATCAATTAGCCATGTACTGGTATCCGATTTGTAAATCAAAGATCTGTGTCTATCTATGACCAGAACTCCTCCCAAAACAAGCTCGAATTTCTTTTAAGATCGGTCCACGACTAAACCGACCACCACACGCTTCAGATAACGATCATGGACTGTTGGTACTACATCGATTTCATGAGGTAGGTTTAAGCTCAGGATTTTGTCCGCAACTGAGTAAAACATAACAAATGCTGTTTAATGGATATTTTATTGTTATAAAGTAAGCCTCCATCAGCAGCTACCACCTCCTTGGGCTGAAGTGTAATATTCCTCTAGATCCAGTGGTCACTACAACAGAAGTAGGCCGAATGGTCAGTACTTGTAACATGAAAAACCTTGTATCCAGATTTTGCTTTCGCAAGTCCGGACTATCTATGATTTCCTTCCATTTTTACACACTGATCGACATTCTTTCTTTCACTAAAATAATTCTTTAAAACACTTGAGTGTATTAAATAAGGTTGATTGGGCATTCACCATAAATTACATCATCATTCATATCCATGTTCGAAGCCAATCAGATTGGTGGTACTAATGTGCATGAATATTATCTAGGGCTCTTGATGGCTCTCGATGGCCCATGGAGTTACAACAAAGTCTTTTAGCTACAACAACGATCAAAGTTCATGCCTTATTTCGCTACATGTGCATCTATAATGTTCCAGGTTAGAGTATTTCATGAACTTTCACAGAACTCCAGTTTAATACGAATGAGCAATTTCCGCTTTTGTGGAATAATTAGGACACAAGAACACCTAAAATTAACTATCATCACAAGTACTAACCTTTGATTAGAAGTTCGCAACTAATGTTTGTGAAAGGGAAAGACATTTTATCTTTGCATATCGAGTTTCACTTTCTTCACTACTCATTATGATCGACATTCATATTGATAACGCATCAACATAAGTAACCTGGTCACAAATAGGGACTGAAGATGAGAGTTTCAAAAAAGAAACACAAAAAACCAGATTTTAATTGAAATATTTTTCTTTATTGAATGGCCAGCCCATCCAGACGAACATGAACTTAAAATGACATTCCAGTTGCTTAAACCGATGTAGTCCAAACGACATATATTTCGGTGAACTGATCTGTCCTGAGACTCCTATAACTTCTCTTCGGACTTCCACTACGTCCTCTTCTCTGATAGAATCCCCCACCTCCTATTACAGATGTCTCTGCTGCTGTGCTATCCAATCCTGCTCAGTATTTACTCCAGGCGCTGGAATTATGCACAACAAGCGTCGCGGAAGAATTTCGGCTCGATTACCCATACAAGACTTTGAAGGACTTCCTAAAAAGGAATTTGGGGTAAAAATTCGATCACGGTTATCTCAGACCAGTATTTCGCCACCTCAAGGTTTTCACCTTCTTCCTCGACGTCATCGAATGTGTCGAAGACGAAGGAAGGTCCGTCATCCTACATATCCCATATATATGTAGGTCTCCTGCTCAGAGATCCATCATTCTACGGACCATTGGATGACGGAGGAAGTTGCCATCATAGCTCCTACAATGAAACTCAAATTCAGTCATATCCATGACAAGTAAGCACACACACGACCTTCATACGCACTAATCTGAAAGGCATCTGACGCGTCCTGTATGACTTCCTTTGTTTAAACCAGCTAGTCCATAAACTCCTGCTTTTTTTTCCATCCCTGCCGTGCACTTCCTCTGGGACTTGGAATTATCGCACACCAAGGGTCGTCCGGGATCATACTGTATTCAGAGTAATGAAACCGATTGCTGGAGTGGAAAGGAGGTTCGGGTAGAAAAAATATCAAGTCTAATTCAGCCCAATATTTCACCACCTCAAGGTCTCTATCTTCTTGATCGAAGACGAAAAATGCATCACTGCCTCCTGTGGCGTAGAAGTTGACAACTGTGTGATAAGCTAGAGCCCATTTATCTAAAAATCTCCAGAGAGCAGCATCATCTCTTGCTTCGTACAATTCTTCCTCCAAATTGAAAGGATATCTCCGTCTCGTGATCATATCTCGATCATATAGATCTCTAGTTCTCTTGATCAAAGCTCCATCCATCGTCCGGACCATGGGATTCCGGAGGAAGTTGGCGACATCGCTTCTACGATCAAATTTCTCATTCACATTTTTCTTCGACCAATTACTGGAAAGTAGGCACACATGTCGTTCATACGCAGCCAGTTGAAGGTCAAATGGCGTGGCCTCCATGGATTTCTCTACCAATGAGGTCCACGTTCCCTCTTCCAAATCAAATATCAAGAGAGCCCTAATCTTGCCCCTAGAGGCATCCCGTACGAGCCAATACAGACACCTATCACATACTACACTTCTCCCAGTACCCCACACGTCTTTCATTGATTCAGGAAACGGATGAATTCCCCACGACCATGTACCGGTTGTGGACTCATAAATCAAATTTCTGTGTCTATCTGTTGCGACTAGAACTCCTCCAAAAACCAGCTTGAAGTTTTTCGTATATTGGTCCACGACTAAACCGACCACCTTACACTTCAGCTTATCCTTAATGACTGTATTTCCTCCATCGATTTCACGAGGTACGCTAAGAAACAGGACTTCGTCCGGAACTGGGTTATACATGACATATGCTCTTGAGAGTCGCTCACCGAAACACAGTAGGCCTCCATCAGCAGCGACCAGCTCCTTTGGCACAACGAGGTGTGGGAGATTCCTTGTGATCCATCGATCTCTACAGCAGAAATGGGCCGTATTTTCACGATGTTCATTAAAAACAATAACAGAATGATTCCAGATTTTCTTCCGTAATTCGGGACCATCTATTATTTCCCTCCATTTCTTACAAACTGAACGACATTCCAGAAGAGTGGAAACTGGCAGATCATGATATCTGAGAATCTTGATCAGGAACTCGATAGGTACACTTTCCCATGCATCTTGAGGTTGATGCTGATCTCTTTCGGGTTCCATTCTCACGAAAAAACTTTTTAACGATCATAAATATAAGTTGAACTCTGAATCTGCAATCTGCAACATCTCAGAAGGAGACAGTACTCAGTCAAGTCAATTGTGAGTTAGCGTCGACAAAAGTTCTAACGCGGATTGAAACAGATGGGCACAAATGAAAACAATTGTGTGTTTCAATATCTGCATATATACGTATGAAGCAGCTGTCAAACTTGAGAATGCTGGATGCAGAAGTGCGGACAAGAGAAGTGTGATAACACTGACGAAACAGTGCATTGTCAGATAGACGAGAGGGAACGGGAAAGAAGTTCCTGTCACTGAAGTTCCGAACTATATAGTCATCGACCGAAACAACGACTAGTATCGGTTGGCAGTTACTTATGCATCGGTAATATTAGCATGTCTTTTTCGACTTGGTGTTCGTTGAACTGTCAATTTCACATTTTGAAGTATAACCATACTATTTACGATTTCAAAAACATTTTTCTCAACAGTACTCCGTTGAGCTATCTTTTGATTTTTATTGATGGTCTGAAATTAGTCCGGACCTTTCCAGGATTTCCTTCCGTATCTTACAAACTGATCGACATTCTACAAGAGTGAAAATGGAAAGCTCCTGATCTCTGAGAACCTTAGCCAGTAATTTAATAGGGGATGTGTCCCATAGATCTTGAGGTTGATCCTCTTTCCTTTCGAGAGCGATCACAACGAACAAGCTTTAAAGGGTGATATATAAGAAGTTAGTTTCTGAATCGAATCCTCTAACATCTCAGAAGGAAACAGTAGTCAGTCAGTTTTTTTTGCAATTAAATCTTCACGAAAATATCATGCTGGTGGACAAAGATAGGCTCAGATGAGAAGGTTTGTATGATGCAATAATTTCATGTTTGCGATGTGTGTAGTAGAGAAGAGTGGTAACTCTTACGAGAAGTCGATGGTCAGACTGCGGGAAAGAAGTTTCTGTTATGTTCGGAGATCTGATGTCCTGGACCAAATTACGGACAACTTTAGTTAGGCGTGACTGTGAGTGAGCTACGCATCGGTCATTTCAGCATTTCATTTTGAATTCGGTGTACGTTTAGCTGTCATTTTCAGAATTGAAGTACAAACATACTCGTTTGGACCGCCAAAGATTAACTCTCATTATCTATTTTAATGACCAGTCTGATGAACTATCTTCTGAGTTTCAATAATAATTTGAATGGAAACATGAATGAAATAAAAGCTCACTTATATATAAAAGTGTATATATTGCTTATTTTTAGAGTAATTATATTGGAACTTGAAAAAATGACTGATTACTCTCTTAACTCCACTTATTCATAAATATAATCTAACTAATTTTCGTTGGAAAACTAGAGAGCGCTAGAGTTACGAAGATAGTCAACGCGCTAATGATGATTAGCACGTTGAGATACTTGTGGAAGACGGGCCATTTTTAACAAAAAAACCCTCAGAGTTAGTAGATTGACGGTATCTCAAAATATTGCTCTGAACATAAAATATATAAAACTATGACAGTTCTTATGGCGGCTCTAGTCTAATATATATGAGTAAGCCATAATCTCTGACAAAGGTTGTCAGGTGAGGCAAATCCCATGAGAAGCTTAACATCTAATGAGATCAATTGAAGTTGAATATCATAACAACTGATATATTTTTCTATTATGCTTAAAAAGTTGCTATATCAATGTAGTATCTGCGAGTAGAATGTAGGGACGCTATAACCTAAAATTTGACGATCACTGTTACCCCAAGGGGAATAAACAAACCTAGTTATCAGAACTTATCAGACAATGATATTGTTCATCTCAACGAATAACGAACAATTATGGTTTATTTGGAATAAGAGTGATGTTTTAGAGACTGCAAATACTTATTCATAGCATTTTGGAAGTATTTTCGTGGTTTCAGAAAATAAGATGAGTTATCTTTAGTGTTTTTTTCATGTTAAGATTAAATTTGTACCCTAAGTCACAAATGTAGAATCTTAAGGAGGTTTTGATAAGTATCATAAGTTAGCTGTCGAGATTAGATGTATAAATTTGGGAAAAAAATTTATATTGTGATTATATTCGATCTTGTATGAAATAATTTTGTGTACGAAAATGAATCTAGACCTCAAGGCAAGTTGCTCTAATATCTCTTTACATCAATTTGTTTAACTTTTTCTAAACCTACGTTTTAATATTTAATCACTTGCAAAACAGATAAATAACCTTACACTACTTCTACTCTTCCAATTGACGTGTCTACTGTTGCTTGAACTTGTTGCAACCCATCAAAAAACTCGTAGATGAAGATGTAGGTCATGCGTCTCTGACAGATGTGCACATAATCACATGAACTACTTCAAACGTATGAACACATTGGAACTCAGCATCATTACGCCAAGGAACATAGTTGGAGCATCTCGTTCACAAAGCCATGAATCAATGTGACCACTTGATATTTATCTTGCAAAGTCAAGCATGAAAATCTATCAAGAGCCATCAATCAATACGATCACTCGATCTTTATGTCGCATGGGTAAGCATGAAAATATATTAATTCCTGTTGTGGGTACTTTTTTTAAAAGATAAGTTTTGAATCTCATGGTATTTGCTAGTACAAAGATTGGTAACTTAGCTTGCATTCCTGCCAACAATCTCTCTATGGCCATCCTTTGCTTCTGAAGGCCTATATATAATTGTGACAGCTCTCAAAATTCCTTCCACCGATCATGTTGACGCGAGATCATGTTGTGTCATGCAAAAAAACCTCCACACGTGACTTCCCAAAAGGTATGTAAAATGAATGTATCAATGAAGGAGAACATAATACTATCTACGTACTCTCCTTCTTAGATGTGCGTATATAAGACGAACGCATCGAAGGAGGAGAGAATAGTAACTACCTACGTCATCTCCTTCACACTCGTTGAATTTTGAGATTGTTTTTCTCACAAAACTCCTAGCAAACATAATCTTATTTCCATGACAAGAATGAGACTCACTTCACTAAAAAAATTTGTCAGATCATCATAAGTCAATTTCGCCAATTCATCTTAAGTCTACATTGGTTACAAGGTCAAATATCTTTGACTATGTAAGTGTGAACTAGAAGTTGACTTTGGACAATACAACCAACTGCTTTTGTATGTCAGTAGAGCAAACCTATCTTTAAGTTAAGATTTAAACCCTCTTTGGGATGAATCTCGTGCTAAGAACCAACCGAAAAAAATGTAATAACCTCCTAACTATGATTTTACACTGAATTTGTCAAAAATCTCATATAATTGTGCAAGCTGATTCAAGCTGGATTATATGTCCATATTTAAGGAGAAACTTGTATCGTAAAAGAAGACGGGGACGTATGCTATTAACTTTTTCATAAGAATCTTTGTAAGATGTTGGAAGTGAAGTATCAAATACATAAAAAAAATGTCACCTTGCATATCAGGATTCAATGGGGTTGTTGTACAGAAGATTGAGACACCTCTCTGAACCTAACGTGAGTAGTGATGATGATCAAGGGATATCATCATCTTAATCAAATGCTTTTTTCGGAAATCAAAAAATTTGAAATTCTGAAGCTGAATGCTAAGAGAGATCTAGTAACGTAGATACTAGAGAAGAAGTAGATGTACGAAACTAAAACTGTAAGATCAGAAGTGTGGTAACACACTTTTTGTTTTTTTTGCAGAATTTAAACAATTTTAGAAAACTAGTACCGAAGCAGTGTTTGTAGTTAGAAAAAGGTACGTTAAATAGAGTGGATTGATGAGATCGTCTCGAGGTCACGAAGAATCGCGTAGTCGGATGTACCAACGCCAATGTCTTCGGCGCCTTCGGCAAAAGCTCCTTTTCTGAGGTGTCTCTACTCACGCGCTTCCAGCGTATAAGGAAGCTACGCTTCCGGCGCAGACACCTCAGGAGGAGGTTTTGCTAAAGACGTCAGAAGAAGGGCCCGGACCTCTGAAGGCGTCCGACCATGAGTGCGCCTTCGGCAATGCGCCGCTAGCGCGGAAAGGGAAAACCTTCATAACGATCGGAATACACGGTAGATCCAGTTGGTTGAAGTTGCATTAGAAAGAGCTCGGGACGCTCGTTCTAACGAGCCCAAGAGCGTCGGAGATGGATCAGGGACGGAGAAGTTATGAGCGTCGGAAAACTCGTAGCCGGATATGCGCCGTTCCGCTAGGGTTCACAGCCGGAAAGGACTCCCGTACGCCCTCGGCGAAGCGCCTTCGGCGGAATCGCGCGCTCATGGGAGGAAACCAACTCAGAGTCGGAAGCGCCTTTGGCGGCTGCTCATGGAAAGAAAGCGCCGGTCGGATGTACGCCTCCGACGTGGCGTGTAATAACCCACCAAAGGCTAAAACTGCAGTATGGTGGTAAAAAGATCGAACCCACAAGGACAGAGGCAACACACAGCGTAAAAGTGTCACGTTTAACAGACTTTTGTAGAGTTTGAATTCTAGGCGACTGTCACTCCCAGAAATACTGCAGTGCTCGACTCGGAGGCTCGACTCGGAGGAGGATCTCGACTCGGAGGATGCTCGGAGGATGCACAGTACAGCGTAGTCACTCAACACACACATACACACACACACACACACCTGAAAACTGGCAAAAGCACAACTCGGAGGTCGGTCAGGACCTCCGCTTCGGATTTCAGGAGGAAAGTGTCTCAAAAGTTCACTCAGAGGTTCTGCAGGTAGTGTCTCCCACTCCGGCTTTTACTGCCCTTCCGCCAGGAACTAGCGTAGGGTACCCGGACTGGACTTCCCACTTCGGAACGAAGCCTCTTCATACGCCGTGGACGTCACCCTCGACTCACACCAAACGCAGGGAGTGCAGGCCCGACTGAGAACTTAACTGAGACACAATCCAGTAACACACACACACAACCTGAATTACAAACCAAGGCTTACACGAAGTAATAAAACTTCACTTTGGCATTCAGGGGAAACTTCCCGTAGGTGTACAATCAGGATATGTCACTCGAAGGAGTAAGGGGAAACTGTTCAAGTCTCTAACTCGCAGCCGGCTCTGAGCATCAGAAATCACCCGCAGGTGCAGATCCGCACTACTCAAGTCTCTAACCGGGTGCTAGCTCTGAATATTCAGCCGAAGGCCTTTCTACTACAACATACGGTAACTTCGCTATGCTGCAGCTTCTCTACGTGGTGCCAGGACCAAAAATGCACAAACACGTCAAGAAAGTGAGTTCCTGATCTGCACTTCCGAAACTGGAAGAGTCCCAAGGCAAAACGCCTTGATCTATTTTATACCATCAAAGGTCCTAAC